TACAAAAACCTGACATAGATCTTATTCAAGCTCTAGAATATGTCAACAATGTGATACTTCAAATAAATTCAATTAGGAATAATGTCGATGAAGAGTTCTTAGAATGTTTTGAAGAACTTCAAAGTAAATCAAATGATTTAGATTTTGAGATAAAAATTCCAAGAATTACAAAAAGACACACTTATAGTCAGAATACTCCCAATAATACAGTTCAAGATTATTTTAAAGTTTTTTTATTTATACCTTTTTTAGATACATTTATTAGTCAGTTAAATGACAGATTTATTAATCATAATGAAATTATTCAAGGTTTTCAATTGCTTTTCCCGATTGCACCTCTTACTGAACAACAAGAAAAATTAATAAAAAATTTGGCGGAATTTTATGCTAACGATGTAGAAAATTCATCAAATGTTTTAGCTGAAGTAAAAATTTGGCATCATCAAGTTTTTAAATTACGTGTCGAAACCAATTTAAAAATGGTTACTGCTATTGAAGTAATTAGTAATTGCAATATTGATCTATATCCCAACGTGTATAAATTGTTGAAAATTCTTTTAACGTTACCTGTAACTTCATGTGAAGCTGAAAGGTCATTTTCAACTCTAAAAAGAGTTAAAACTTATCTCAGAAACTCTATATCAGCATTTAGACTTAATGGATTAGCAGCTTTGAATATTCACCGCGAAATTACAGTTACTACAGATGAAATTATTAAACAGTTAAGTGAGAAAAAAAGACGATTAGATTTTGTAATATAAAATGTTTTTAAAAATTGATTGTAATTTTTATTAAAGTAGTTATATTTATAATTATTTATAAATATGTAACAAAACATAATATTTTTAAGCTCTGAAACAAACATTTGAAAATATATATATATTTTTTAAGATTTATATCTGTGATATTATGCATTTTTAGTTTATCAAAAACTCGATACCAGAGACGTATTTTGAAATATGTTACGGGGTAAGGTATTTTAATGAGGCAGACACCCCCCTCAAAATAATCCTAGTTGCGCTACTGGTCACAATATAAATACCTTTCGATAGGAAGACTTCCTTTTGCAGTGAATTGAAGGCTAAAGAAGGTTATGTGGGTATAACTGACACTACTAAATATAAAATCTTTATAGACAGACAACTAAAAAGATAAAAGTATACTTTGTGAATCTTAGCATTGCGAAGATGACATCTTTGATAATGAATGGATCTCATGTAGTAGTTTAATACCAAATACGAAAAAAAGGTGAATCCTAATAAGTGGTAAATCCACCATTAACAGTTGTGAACACACCAAAATATACAAATTAAAAAAAAAACCAGCATAGGGGTTTGCTACACAGTGATGACGTGCCATAGTTGGATCAAGTATAATGATATCTGACAGTGATGAAATCACTATCATTAAAAACGCTTCAATGCAAATCTTTAAATAGTTTAAAAAATTAAAAAAATTATATATATTTTAGATTAAAATTATAGATATTTTAAAAAATTGGTGGATTATTCCAAAAGCTACATGATCTGCTAGTTCCTTATTAATATCCTGATTAAGATAAAGTATGTCGAATGAAAAAGGGATTATTAAAAAATATTATTTTTGATAAAAAAATTGTGTTGATCCATACACTTTTCAATAAGTTATAGCATTATAAAGTTAAAAATGTAAAAAATAAAATCGAGAATTTTCACACAAAAATTGCATTCGGTAGCCATTTTCACCATGAAAATAAAATAAAGTCCGAAATTTTTTTTTTTTCATAATAAAGTACATTACGCTATCTTTAATTTAAGATATATATAAAAGTGTCAGAATTTCCGGAACACTTTCAAAAGTTAAGTGTAAAAGTAAATTTTTTGTGAAATCCCCCCCTGTGGGCAGATAAAGGGTCAGATTTATAAAAAAAAATATATCAAATGATAGGTTAAAACATTATGCATCTATAAAAAAAAAAGAATTATACTGCTCCATACATATTTCAAAAAGTTATAGCATTATAAAGTTAAAAATATAAAAAATAAAATCGAGAATTTTCACACAAAAATTGCATCCAGTAGCCATTGTCATCGTGAAGACAAAATAAAGTCCAAATTTTTTTTTTATATTAAAGTATATTACATAAGCTTTAATTTAAGATATATATATATGTATATAAGTATCAGTATTTCCGGAACACTTACAAAAATTAAGTTAAAAAAGTTCTAGCTTTAATTAGCTTTAATTTAAGATATATATATATATATTAAAGCTTATGAAGTAAAATTAAAACTATATTAAAAATATTATTAATTTAAAAAACTAAAAAATATTAAAAATATTAAACTCAAAGCCCACAAAAAAATTAATGAAAAGTCGCGGATACGTATTTCGGAAACAATGTTACCATTATCAACGCTAAACACATACTGACACCCCGACTAGAAAAAACTCCCTTATATACCCCTAGTGACCTTATCACCTAGTGACGTTATCACTAAGTAATATTATCACATTATGCCAGTTTACACAAGTTTAATAATGAATTTTTCAGTGGGCCAAGATCCTAATTAATTAAATTGTTTTTATTTTTAAACATTTCTATTGCTTCTCTGATATTAAGTTCTTTGTAATTATTTACGTTTTTAATTAGTTTTATGGTTTTAATAGAGTGATTATGTGTCAATAAATGTTCGGCCACTGGAGATTTCTCAATTTCTTGATTTTTAATATTTCTTAAGTGCTCTTTAAACCTGACCCCTATATTTCTTTTTGTTTGTCCTACGTAACATTTATTACAACTTTCACATTGTATTTTATAAATGCCTGATTTCCCCCCTTCATCTACCTTATCTTTAGGGTTACCTAATAAATCTCTTAAATTATTACTCTTAGATGNTCTTTAGGGTTACCTAATAAATCTCGTAAATTATTACTCTTAGATGTTACCAAAGTAATACCAAAATTCTTAAATATTTTAGTTAATCCATTTGAGATGCCCGGATAAAATAAAATTGGTGATCTAATTACTTTTTGTTCCCCCTCGCTGGAGAGTGTACTAGCTGCCCTCCTTTCTTTTTTCCACTTTTGTTTTCGGACTAATTTCAAAATTATGTTTTCGTTATACCCATTAAATTTAGCTATTTCTTTTATAACCACCAATTCTTTATCATAATCTATTTTATTCATCGGAATATTAATTAATCTGTAAACCATACTATTAAAAGCTGACAATTTGTGTTGCCAGGTGTGGTTCGATGTGTTCGGAATGTATCTGAACGTGTGTGTGTTTTTCCGATAAATTTCAAAATTTAGTTCCCCCTCTGTTCTTTTAACTAATAAATCAAAAAAAGGCAATTTCCCCTCTATTTCTTGTTCATATGTAAATTTAATCGATGGGTAAAAATAATTTAAATGTTGTAGGAAAACCCCCATATTAAAATCTTTATTTATAACTGCAAAAATATCATCTACATACCTAACCCAAATTTTTGGAAAATCACCATAAGTGTATTTTAAATTTGTTTCAAACCTACTCATGAAAAGTTCTGCTAAAAATGGTGATAGCGGATTTCCCATTGCTGTGCCCTCAGTTTGCTCATAAAATTTATTTTGAAACTGAAAAACATTTTGACTCATACATAACTTTGTTAAATTAATAAGCTCATTTATTTTATCCTGTTCAATGTTTTGGTCCTTTAGCCAGTCTTTAAGAAAATCAATTGTTATATTTATTGGAATATTCGGAAATAAGGCAACTACGTCAAAAGAAATTAACCTGTCATTATTTTGAATGGTATAACTAGATAATTGTTTAACTAAATCAATATTATTTTTAACTGAAAAACTATCGAATTTTTTGAAAGATGAAAATACCCTTACTAGGTGTTTAGCCAAATTGTAAGTCGGAGCATTAATATTCGNTGATGTCTGTTTTCACTGTGAAGACAACATAAAGTCCGAAACTTTTTCTTTTTCCATAATAAAGTTTATTACATAAGCTTTAATTTAAGATATATATAAAAGTGTCAGACTTTCTGGAACACTTTTAAAAGTTAAGTTGAAAAAGTTGTCATTTTGAATACCCTTATAGGCGGATAAAGGGTCAGATTTATAAAAAAAATACACCAAATGATAGTTAAAGACATCATGTATCTATAAAAAAAAAAAAATTATATTGATTTGTTCCTTTTTGAAAAAATATGGCAGTTTTAAGTAAAATAAATTGAAAAAATTAGCGATTTTTAAATTTGTAATTTTTTTGGAGGTTTTGCTCATTTACGGAGAACGAGGGAAATTTTTCAATTTTTAAGGGTAATGTTTTCGACTAGATATGATTTGTGATCTTTTGATGTATCATTGAAAGAAATCGGTTCGGTGAGAGCTGAGAAAAAGTGGTAACAGACACAAAAAAAAACACATCATAGTAAAACCAAAACATTCTCAGCTTCGCATCGAAGCTGCTAATATATAATATTAGGAGATTAAAAATATCAAAAAGGCGCAATCAACTTGGTAATAAAATTCCTTAAGATATTATCTTCGATCATTTTTTGGTATATTTTTTCAGAAACTGAGTTAGTATATCTAATAATAGGCAATCTTATTTATACAAAAAAAAACATTTTTTCTATAAAACCCCCTAGAACACATTTCTTAACATTTAAATAAACATTTTTAAGATTAACTTGCCCATTTATCATAATTTTATACATTATTTTTATTGAAATATGATAAACTCTTTTTGCATCTCTAAGCCAAACATTATTTGAGTGTTTTATTCATATTGATGAAAAGATATTCGGTATATTGTCAATTAACTAGATACTAGTTAATTTCATTAGTAAGTTGTTGATGTTTAAAGTCAATATTCGTGCTAAAGTAATGGAAGAACTCTTTCAAATATGGTCCATTCCATTCCCTTTTTTTTTAATAACCAAGGATGAATTCTTAATTATACTTCCTAAGATGGTATAGGACATAGCTGTTAAGTCCATATCTTCCTTTTCTATAATACACTCTGAAGGTGTAAGAATACAAATTCTATCTAGACCATACAGATTCAATTTGTCTGTTATAGATGAAATCATCATCATTTATTAAAGACAATGCCTTGTTGTTGAAGTCACTCCTCTTTGTTTGACACCAAATTCTTCAGTGAAACAAAATACGCACAATTCATGAGTTCCAGGATATTTTCAAAATATTGTTTCCTTGATTATCCTCTTGGTTTCTTCCCAGTTATTTTTTATTCGAAGATGTTGATTATAAAGTCATTGTACCGGATGATGTGTCCGATTAACCTTATTATTCTTGATTCAATTACCTTCATCAGCTGTCTTTCTTCTCGTAATTCTTCTAGCACTTACTAATTACATTTCTTGTCTATCCATTTTTATCCATATCCATAACAATAATGCCTCTGGTTTGCTTCTGTTTTTCTTGTGAATTGTCCATGTTTTATTGCCATATGAAAGCACACTCCAGATTAATGTTTTAACGAATCTTTTACGTGTGCCAATTAGATGTACTCTTCGGATGTCTGGAGTTGATTTGTTATTGAAAGCTATGATTCTTCCAAGGTAGCAGAATTCTCGGACTTGTTGTAATCATCTATTGTTTATTTGTATATTAAGGTTTAAATCTAAGTGCATTTTACTTATAAGCATTGTTTTGGTTTTCATGGAATTTATTTCATGAACTTAGACCTATTCTAGACGATATAAGTTCCCTAATGAATTTATCTAAAGATCATTCTTGTTTAACAACTCACATATATACTCAAGATAAGCGTTTTACAGCATCCAAGGCTCTGTCTGTCTCAGTAATCTTATTGAATGGATTAGTCCTCTTCTCTATTGTCCCTGACTCTCAGTATGGTTCATTATATAATCTGATGAACACAGGATATAGATTTTCTAGATATCCTTTTATGGGCTCTTTCAATATAAAAGAAACATGTTCTTCGTTTCCTCTACAGTGTTGACATTTACCATTAATAACTTTGTTCAGACTAAATTGTTCCAATGGATGGGGTGTGGTGG